CCTTCTTAAACATTGTAGGCATGGTTTAGAGAGCTTCCTACAAGGGTACTTGATTCGCTCACACCAGAACAGGTGATGCGCTGCAACACAGAAGATGACTGCACAGAACTTGTGAAGACACTTCCTCCAACAGAAGCTTCACTGCTAGATTGGGCCATCAATTTGATGGCAGACGTTGCGCAGAACGAACAGCACAACAAGATGAATGCCCGCAACATTGCTATGGTTTTTGCACCTAACATGACCGAGGTTTGTACCATTTTTTCACACGGTTGTTTATTGATGTGAAATGTCTCTGGTTGTAATATGCAGTTTGCCTTGTTTGCTTTGATCCTTGGCCCCCAAGGTGGGTCAAGTGACCGGGAATCAGGACGACACATTTTCGATGGAAGGCCCTAGTTGGCTTCCCACAATAACTCCTCTATCGATTTACCTGATACCTAGGTCAAGCGTAGGCCTGGGGTTTTAGGGGTTTATGCGGCCCACCTGTTAAAGGATGAGTTGGAGTTCCACATCTTCAAATGATTGTTGTTCCTTGGCTATGTAACTTTCGTTGTAATGGCCATAAGAAAGTCCTATTTGTCCACAAACAAGTATAAGCTTTGCTATGGACTAAACAAGAGTTTTTGCTGCAGATGGCAGATCCCTTGACTGCACTAATACATGCGGTGCAAGTTATGAATTTCCTCAAGACATTGATTTTAAAGATCCTGCGCACGAGAGAGGAATCAGCTGCGGAGGCTACATTGCACTCATCGTGCAAAAAATCTCTTAACCACAACAGACAAACCTTGTATTCGATTATGGGTGATTCTTTTGTTCATGATAGCTCATTCAGAACCACCACTTTGGACAGCCCAAAAGCTGACATCGATGAGAAACTTTGGTGCTCTCCGGTAATGACTGATGGGGAAGATGAACTCGAATCCACTTCGCACAGCAGCAGCGCATCTACCAAGTGTGAACTTGAGTGTTCAGAAAACGGATGTAGAAGTGGATACGAAGCTGGAGACTGGTTAAGTTGGAGGAAAGGAGTGCGGAAGCTATACAGCCACCCGGTGTTTCAGTTGAGTAAGCCGGCTAAGAAGGGTACGAAACTTGAGATTGTAAATACTAGGGGAGAAGGTGGAGAAGCATGGGCATAGAGAAATGGGAAGCTGAGGAATCTGTCTTTGTTCTTATGATTGTGGTTTGTGTAAATTTTTAGAGGATAGATGTTAGCATTTTGTTTTGTTCTGGTCAGATAAAAGGTTTGGAAGGAACTAACTACAGGTCTAGTGAAATGTGTAGTAACCAGTGAGCTATTTTGTATGATTCGACTTATAACTTTGTGTGATTTTACTAACAATGCAAATTGGTTGCTTTCATGGTCAAAGCCCAAATCCATTTTTTTAATGTTGTATTTCCTTTGAAGAGTTTTTTATTTTTTTTATTTTTTTTAATCACAATTCACAAATTATGATATTTTATATTCTACCAACTCATTTGGTTCTTCAATTTTTGACTTAGTCATCAATTTTGTTATTGCCGTTACATTTCGTTAAAAAAAAATCTGTTAGTTGGCTAATGTGGAAAAATGGTTGGGCCTAAGTATTGATTATATAGAAAAACAAAAATAATAAAAGTCCCTTTTTGCTCATCCCCTAACCAAAAGTGACCGTTATTTGCCCTCCAAAATCTTGTCATGTGTCTCTTGAACTAACCTATGGTTATCTATTATTTAATTATATCTTTTATGGCAAAAAAAAAACAATTAAATGAATTAAAAATAGAGAAAACTTGAAATATGTCTAATTTTTTTTAGCCAACATTAGAATAGTTGCCACTTAGTACTATGGTTTAGTGGTATTTATCTTCACTTGTAAGTGAGAGATCTTGGGTTCAATTCTCGGCAAAGACGAATTTGAACCACATTATTGCGAGCCTATTGTGGGGTAAGCCCACCTACTCGCCCCTTTCTCTTAGTATAAATAATATCGTTTGTGCAAAAAAAAAAAAAACATTATGATAGTTCAATTTATTGAAATAGGTCAAATTTCTTAAGTATAGGATTATTTTTATTACCAATAATCTCTTTAATGACAAAATTATTATAAAAATTAAATTATTCCTGATTATCTCTTTAATTATTTCTTCTATTTTTTTTGTTGCTATTTTTAAATTTTTAATTTTTATAATCAACCTATCACAAGATAATTGTATTTATCTAAATATTCTTTTTTATTTTTATTTTTTATAATCAACTTGTATCACATATTAATTTTTCTTGTTTGTGGATATATTATGTTTTTGTACCTTTTAATTAGGTTTCACATCTCGTTTATAGATATAATATACATTTATATATTTGTTACTTGAATTAGGGTTGTATGTTCTGCAAATGGATTCGTGTTAGTATATTAGTTTTTTGTTAGAAGATATTAAGAAGATTTATGGAAAAAATTAATAATAGAGTATACTTTTAATAGTTAATTTTATATTGAGACAACACTTTTTATTACTTAATTTCAACCGCCAGATTGAAAGATATCCTCAAGCGAGTTGGTTTGAATTCAAAGGTTAGATGACCTTGTCTTACGATGCCTATATATATCCTCATATATTTTGCCTTTTACTTTACCAAAATCCTTCAAATCATCCATTGTAAAAAAGTTTACAATTCTCTTGTTGTACCGATTTCAAAATCCTTTCTTTCCATGAAGCTCTTCACAAGACATCCTCGAGCAAGAAATCCAAGTTGACTAAGGCCATCTCTAACTGAAGGAGGGCTAGATGGCTCGTTTTAATCCTATAGCCGTCCAAGAAATTAATATTTTAATGAATAGTGCCATACCATATTTCTTACCATCTCCAACGAAGGGGCTAGAGGGCCAGAGGCTAAACATAACACTATGACAAAAAACCATGTCCAACTGAGGGGGCTAAAGGGTCATAGGGCCAAACATAATTTATTATTTTAGTTGAATTAATATGGTTACTTAAATTAAACTACCTCAATAATTTTTCGAGATAGAATGTCAAGAATTTTTCGATTTGGAATCTCAATAATTTCATGTCTCGAATTTCGAGTGCCACGTGTTAAAATCTGATGAACAACTACTTCAAACAAGTACATGAGGCGCCATACGATGAAACGTTCGAAAGCCACAAACAAGTACATACAACAGGATTTTGTTGCACATCTTTGGGCCAAAAGAAGCATGGAGTAGACGATTAAGTTTTATGTTGTTAAATGTTTTTTTTTTTTTAATGTTGTTTAATGTTACTTAATGTTATTTAACGTTGTTTATTGCTGGACCGACCGGGGTTGGCTGGTTAGGTTGGGCCAGCCGGTTGGCCCGATTCACCTTTTGTGGCTTGGTGGGGCCCACGAGCCCTTTGGCCTAACATTCAGTTGGAGACGGTTTTCGTGTCATTTAGAGCTATTTTCGGCCCTCTGGCTGGATCGGTTAGAGATGGCCTAAGGTCCGCCAAAAGGCTCTTATCCTTAAGATTCTTTTACTGTTTAATGGGATGTTTTTTGGTTAACCGTATTTTCCTTTGCACCTGAAGTTTGTTTCCTCCTCCCAGAGTTTAAATGCATTTAATGTAAATTATTCATTGTTTGTTAAAAAAAAAAAAAAAAAAAAAAAAAAAAAAAAAAAAAAAACCATATTTCCACCGTGGTGATGTCCTAATTAGATTTGTTTGTGGCTTCCTCAACACACTATTGGAGCAGTGTGTAATACCCTTCATTTAGTTTTATTGGTTACTCCAAGGGAGCATTTTGAGATTTAGAAAAATACTCTGGCTGGTTGCAATGTTTTGTGGGAGAGAATCAATTGCTCATCTACCAATCTAACCGAAAAGTGAAGTGTTCTTTGGTTATTTTGGGTGCTGCACAACTGATTTGTATTGGAGAAGAGTTGTTTTCTTGCTTCTCGTTTATATTTTCGGTATCATTGAGTGACTGAGCTTGAGTGTACTTGAGGTTTAGGGTTCTTGAGAGATAAACACTATCTTGTAATTGCTCTCTTTAATTATGGTAGATCCCCTTCCTCGTCTGCAAACTGGACATGTAAGGCTCATTAAACGCGAAACAACATAAATCTTAGTGTTCTTAGTTGTATGGACCTTTTCACTTTTCACTAATTTGTTTCTTGCCTAGTTGTTACTTTTCTTACGCACGATCTTGCATGTATAGGCTGACAAGGGTTTGGTTATGATCTGGTGTTGTATTTGGTGGCTAGAGATAAGGAGGAGTCGGTTAAGGAGATCAGAAATCGAATTTAACTTTGTCATCATCTAAATCTGGTAGACATTCTGTTGCTAGTGCGATTAGAGGTTGAGAAATTTGATGGCTCTAATAATATCGGTGTATATCAACAAGAGATATAGCTTTGGAGGAGAATTATGTAGACACATATTATGTTTATGGTATTTGTTAGGGCAGAGCAAACAAACTGAAAACTTGAAAAAGGACCAAACTAAACCGTCTGGGTTGGTTTCGTTTGAAAAAAAATTTAGGATCTCCAATTCCCAAGTTTAAATTCCATGTAAATATGTGCCATTTCTAAATTTTTATCAGTGAGAGTATAAAAATACAGAAATTCCGTAGTTAAATTCCATTATTTTTTTTAGGTTAACCAAATAAGAAAATTCATAAATTATAGAAAATAAAATTTCATCATTTCTATTTCCATCATCTTGAAATTCCTTAGTAATCTTAAATTTTTTTCACCCAAACTAGGCCTGGTAAACGGCCGTGTCGTGTCACACCCATTATCTTAACGGGTTATTGACAGGTCGGGTCATTTTACTTGACTCGTTATGACCCGCTAAGAAAAATAATTTTTTTTCTTTCTAAATTTACTCATACCACATTGTGATATAAATATTATCTCAAAACATAAAAACACATTTGTTGTTAAGTACTACATCTACGCACTCCAAGATAAGAGCCTAATAAAAAGCATCAATACACTACTAGTCTACTACAAAATATCAAATGTGCAAGGAAATACAAAATGAAGGAGTTTTTCTTTTCAAGGTTGTGAAACCTTTCTCGGAAGTTAAAACAAAATACATTTAAAAAAAAATAGCAACAAAAAGAAAAGGTTACCGCAAGCTCGGAGCCAATCAGTGTGGTGGAGAGAGACGGGAGAGGGTGGTTGTGACTCATGGTTGTTTGAAGTTGAGGCTCAAGACTGAGATTCGAGAGTTAAGTTTTAGAGAGAGAGAAAATAGCTGCTTCAATTTGAGCCCTTGACTTCGAGAATGAGAGAGACAGAGTTTGATTTAGGCATTAGGACGGTCAAGATTAAATCTTAGCCGATCCAACGGTCATCAATTTTCCAAATTTAATTCAAATATATATATATATATGTATGTATGTATGTATGTATGTATAATGGTAGGGATTTAATCTCACAAAAGTGAGACTAAATCCTACTACTATAATTATAGTAATTTTTTCTAGTGGTATAAAATTATTAAAATAATATTTTTCTTATCGTGTAACAGGTTATCCACATGTATACCTGGACCGACACCTTATCTTAATAGGTGCTTATCGGGTAAAAAGTCACATCAGTAATATTCCATAAGATTTCAAAGGGTAAAAAGTCATACATGTAAATCATTTTGTAGAGGTGTCCCTGTTAGCGTTAGACGCTGGTTTGCACTTCGTGCCTCGTCCATAAGCACATAACTCCACTGCCATCGTTTCAGAATTTTACGATCATCTTTCTGCTGTGCATTAGAAGACCATAAGTAAAAGGAATTAAATGAACATAAAATCAAAATTATTATCAATTGTCCATATGCAACACCAAAGCAAACCTGTGTCTTTCAAATAGTGAGTAACACACGAGAAGAACATTAAAAGGAGGTGGTAATCCAGCTTTGGACAAAGAGTTCAACTCTTTTGAATATGCCGATCATGCAACCCCATGATACTGGAGAACAGTGAATGATGGGCACCACTTTTTAAGTTATCTTTCCCAATTTTCCAAAACAGAAGCAGGGTATACAATCAAATGTGGACCTGGGTCATCATTTAACTGTTTCAATAGCATCAAGCATGTTATAGCCTGTTTAACAAGGACAAGCAACGATCACCTCCCGCTCTTGGCAGTGGAAGGATAACGGGTTGGTGCCGTCCGGATCCCTCATGGCTTGCCGGACTGTTCTAATTTGAACCAACACTTCTTTAAAAAAGTTTCCAAAAAAAAAAAAAAGCTAAACATATTATTGGCATATGCAAAGAGAAAGGACATGCAGGTACTTGAATGGTCTTCCCGAGACCTATCTCGTTGGCCAAAATGGCTGCACAAAATGTAAAGGATACTAAACTGTAACGATTCAAAATTGAGACTAAACCAAGCCATATATGCTTATACACTTAGCCTTATAAAATTAACAATGCAGTTGAAAATTTTTGAACTATTGTGATCTAATAACATTTAAGCTTAACATTTCAAAATCATGCAGTAGTAAAATAACTAATGAAATTCCATTCGGTGATCTGAATTTATTAGTCACACAGTTTAAGATCTTGTACTACTCAGAGTCTAGAGAAGCAAAATTTATCACAGTCATGCATTTTTACACAAAGAATTACTTTCTAAAGTAGAAGTAAAATCAAAATTATGCTTAAAGAGAACAATAAAAATAAGTACCTCCACCAATACCCTTTTGATACAGCAGAAGAAGAAAGTTAACACCAACCAACTGATATGGCTTGAGAATAGGTTGAAAATCGGAATCTTTAGACCTACAAGCCTCAATAATGTCATCCTACAACAAATAACAGTAACCATCACTTGCCAATCCAATTGAAAGAGGATATAACATTAGCAACAACAACAGAAAAAATAGCCAATTTTATGCTTATGAGGACCTCTCAACACATATTGAAAAGAAATACAATACCTTCACGCAAGTAATACTCAATGACATAAAAGAACTGTACTTTTATACAGCTACATTCTATTGGTCTGTAATTTTCCTTATTTCACTAATTACATTGGAAACAAAGGATACCAAATTTTGTAGCCCAATTATGAACGAGTAAAGGTAAGAGCTTTCCAACTCCATGTCATTCATAATACAAGAAGCTCAGTAAAAGTGAGAAAAGGCACCTGATTGACAATCCTCACAGAGGTAGCTTCCACTTTGGCGTATCGATCAGAAACCACCGGAGCCGAACTCCCGTGGAGCTCCTTTCTCAAATCCGCCGATATTTTGGCACACTTCTGCAAAGCCTTCCCAACCATGTCGTTGTCCTCCAACTCCTTTACCTCCTCCCCTTCTTCCTCACTCATTGACTCAATATTAGCCTAATCCCCATCGCTATCCTCGTCCTCGACCACAAACTGATGTCCACGATTGACCGGCCTGGCCTTCGAGACCTCATCCGCATTGTCGTCCTCCAATTCGTTCTTAATAACGACTTAATCGGAGTCGTCATCCTCCAGTTTGTGATTAATCTCAACGCAATCGGAATCGGAGTCCTCGTCATCGTGGGAGCTATTACGGTTTGAAGGCTGATTGGAAGGCGAGGAGGAAGGCTATGAGAGAGGATGAGGAGAAGATGAGGAGAAGGCTGGCTGGGTGCAATTGGGAGGAACGCTACGCGAGACGGAGTGAGAGAAAGGGCGAGAGCAGGAAGTCAGATGAGGAGGAATGACTCTTTTCCATTTGGTCCAGCGTAATTTGGGAAAATTCAAAATAAGCACCTATTTTTCACCATTGTGATGTCGCGCAAGTTATATTTTAAAAATTATTATAAATTTTACTGAAAATGTGACTTTACTCCATTCAAATTCAATTTTTGTACATAAAACCCACAATAATATATTTTTCTAACAAAAACCCAATCTGAACTACAATAATAAATTTAAAGCTACTTAATAAATATACATACCATTCAATTTATGAAGTATTATACGTACAAAATAAATAAATTTAAAGCTATAATAAATATATATACCATTGAACTTGTTGGGATATGCATTCTACAAAATTAGTTTCAACGATCCAACCATCAAACTTGTTTGTATATACTTTGAAATCGCATACGCTAAAAATCGCAAAAAACAAACAGTCATAGATCAAGTAATGGGACAAAACATTTTGACGATTATAAACGAAAAATCACGATTTAATGGTTATTTTAACTTTGATTTTGATGATTTTTTATAGCTACACTCCTTGACCCTATATGAATACAATGAATGAACTCGATTTTCAATTTAAAATATTTACAGTAGTGGATATCACAAAATCTTATGTTATACTTAATGAAAGTATAAAAACCCTTTGCGCAATGTGGTTGATATGTCACGTAAACAACCTTTGTGTGACATATTGGTTGGTACGTCGTGCAAACAACCTTTGCGTGATGCATTGGTTTGTACGTCGTGCAAAAACAAAACGCATACTACTTCCTGCTTAAGCGGACTACATGGCCATTTGAGCAACATAACACATACTACTTTCCGCTTGAGTGGATCACTTGGCCACTTGAGCAATAGAACACATACTACTTTCCGCTTGAGCAGAAGAAAAACTATCGCTTGAGCAGCAGACCCCAATGTAATGCTCACTTGAGTGACCTAATAATTTTTTTTTAATTTTTTTGACAATTCTTAAAACAAAAGCAATGAAAACACAAAAATTAAAGTGCCCACCCCAAAACTTAAATGAAACATTGTCCTCAATGTTTGCAAAAACTAATACATGCAATGCATTCATCAAAGCAAAGAAATGGAAAGACAACATAAAGAAAAAAAAATTGAAAAAAAAAAAAATTGCAAAGATGGGATTTTGAACTCCCTTTAATGAAGTATCGAAGTTGACAAATCACCCATTCAATGATCCAACCCTCACTTTAAAGATGTGGAAAAAGTCGTTGACTTTGCACGACGAAGACTGTCGCGTTTTGCGCAACAAAAACCTTCGTCGCGCACAACAGTTTCGCGTAACGAAGGTGAAGCTTCGTCGCGCAATGTTGGGAAAAAAGTAGTTGAAGTCTTGGTTTGGTGCCAAAAACTTGCACGACGAATAAACTGCATTGCGCAAATAGTCTTTGTTGGAACTTGTGAGGGACTGGGAGTCCCACATCGCCCATACACTTTTTGAAAGTCCCCTTACTCACTTATAGTTTGACAAAAATTAGGCCAAAGCCATAGAACTTGGGCCTTGGACTTGGAGGGTTTGGGTGTATATATTAAATGTCAATGATTGGGGCTCTTGGGCTTGGATGGATGAAAAACACAAGTACGATTTTTACATTTTTGATTTTAGGATTCAGTTTTTTCCTGAAAGGATAAGACTGATTACATAAATAGTTACGCCTGTTCTGAAAAAATAAGCATAAACGACCACAATTGTTCAAATACGCCATTATATATATGGCAGTAATATCAAAAACCAAAGACATCAATTCCATCACTTTCTCCTTAATTCTTCATAGAGAAACACTTAGTGAATTCGCCAAGAATCTAAGTTCGAGTGCAAGAACTTGGATTAGATAGTTGTATCCTACAAGATAGACGTCCGTTGAACTACTGCATTGGTGTAGGGGCTAATGTCTGTTTTAAGAGATTGCTACTGCAAGCCTCTATCTTAAAAAACAAATCAGTGATTTGTGATTTTATATGCAATTTCATTAATTGTTCATATTTTGATATATTGTATCGATTGTGGAATTTTCATTTGAAATAAACTATGCAAATTATTATATATTGTATAATTGAAATTTGATAGGTTCTAACAATCTAAGACAGAAGTTGATTTCATGGATCAATCAAATGTTGGTGTTGTCAAGCAACACGTTGAGAAACCTGAGAAATTCAAGGGAGTTGATTTTAAATGTTGGCAACATAAGATGTTGTTCCACTTGACAACTCTGAACTTGACACGTCATTACTTCTGAGGCCCCTGAAGCACTAGAAGACGGAGATATTCCTGCCGAAATTCTGCAGGCTATAGAAGCTTGGACTCACAGTGAATTTCTATGCATGAACTACATTTTGAATACTTTAGATGACTCTCTGTATGATGTTTATTCATCATATAAGATTGTGAACAATCTGTGGGAGTCTTTAGACAAAAAGTATAAGTCTGAAGTGGCTAGTTCGAAGAAGTTTGTGATTGGAAAATTTCTAAATTACAAGATGAGTGACACCAAGTATGTTGTCAAGCAAGTTGAAGAACTCCAAGTGATTGTTCATGAGTTAGATGAAGAGAATCTCGGTCTGAAATAATGTTTTGTGGTTGGCTCTATTATAGAGAAGCTACGTTCGAATTGGAAGGACTTTAAGATTTATCTTATGTATTTAATTGAAGACAGGAGCATGGATCAGTTGATTCTCAAACTGCGTGTGGAAGAGGATCATTGCAAAAATGAGAAGTATGATGTCTCATCGTTGGAGGCAAAAGCCAATGTTGTGGAAGGAGAAGACTCACACAAGGAAAAGTACCATCAGAAAAACAAAGGCAAGGATGCTGCAAAGAAACCACTGTTTGCTGTGAAAGGGAAAACCTTCAAGAAAATCAAAGGAGGTTGCTGGGTTTGTGGAAAGATAGGTCATAGGGCAAAGGATTGCCGCCACAAAAAGGATCAGAATACTGAGAATTCTAATCAAGCAAACATTGTAGAAGACAAGTTTTTTGTTGTTGTATCTGAGGTCAATTTATTGAGTAATTCCAATGACTGGTGGGTTGATACAGGAGTAACAAGGCATGTTTGTGCTGATCAAAATTTATTTGTTTCTTACCAATCAATTAATGGTGGAGAAAATTTGTACATAGGAAATGCAACTGCATATGCCGTTGTAGGGAAGGGAAAAGTGACAGTTAAACTCACTTCTAGAAAAGAGCTTTCACTCACCAATGTTCTACATGTTCCTGATATTCACAAGAATCAGATTTCTGGATCGCTTCTAAGTAACAAAGGTTTCAAATTAGTCTTTGAATCTGATAAGTTTGTAATCACCAAGGGTGAGGTGTATGTGGGAAAGGGCTACCTGGCTGAGGGGCTCTTCAAATTGAATGTACTTTCTGCTGATGCTATTAATAATAATAACAAGCTTACTGCTTCTTCTACTTACTTGATTGAGTCATCTACATCATGGCATACAAGATTAGGACATGTTATTTTTGTTTTCTTCAACGAATGGTTAACTTAGGCCTATTGCCCAAATGTTCCATGAACAAAGTATCTAAATGTGAGATATGCACAGAATCCAAATATGCAAAACACTCATATAAATCAGTGGAGAAATCCAATGAAATACTTGGTTTAATTCATAGTGATCTTTGTGATTTCAATTCCATACCAACTTGTGGAGGAAAGAACTACTATATTTCTTTCATTGATGATTGCATCAAGTACTGTTATGTCTATTTGATTCATAGCAAAGATGAGGCTTTAAACATGTTTATGACATTTAAAGCCGAAGTCGAAAATCAACTAGATAAAAGAATAAAAGTCTTAAGATCAGATAAAGGTGGTGAATACGAATCTAATGACTTTGCAGAATTTTGTTTGAAACATGAAATAATACATTAAACAACAACATCATATACTCCTCAACAAAACGGAGTGGCTAAACGGAAAAATTGAACATTGAAAGATATGATTAGTTTCATGTTAAACAATTTTGGTGCACCACATAATTTATAGGGTGAGGCACTTCTTGCTGCCAACACAATATTGAACCGAATTCCACATAAGAAGACTAATGAATCTCCTTATGAAATCTAGAAAGGTAGGTTACCTATATATAAAATTTTGAAAGTGTGGGGTTGTCTTGCGAAAGTTCGAGTGCCTCTTCCAAAGAGACGAAAACTTGGACCAAAAACAGTGGATTGCATATTTATTGGTCACGCCAATAATAGTTCAGCATATAGATTTTTGGTTCATAAATCTGAAATTGCAAACATTCATGTAAATACAATACTTGGATCTGCAGAAGTTGAGTTCTTTGAGGAAATTTTTCCTTATAAAGATTGGTCATATGTATTGAATAAAAGAGTATATGATGATACTACGAGAAATGATGACGATAATCATGCTTCAACTTCTAGAGTCCAAAGCCAATATTTGGAACCAAGGAAGAGTAAAAGAGAAAAATTTGCAAAGGATTTTGGTCCTGATTTCCTCACTTTTCTAACTAAAGTAGAGCCTCAAACTTATAAGGCTACATTAGAATCCTCTGAAGCACCTTATTGGAAAGAAGCTATTTAAAGTGAAATGGAATCCATCTTGCAAAATAATACATGGGAATTGGTTAATTTGCCTCCTGGAAATAAACCATAAGGACACAAATAGATTTTCAAGAGGAAATTGAGATCGGATGGTACCACAGACAAGTATAAAGCTCATCTAGTTGCCAAAGGGTATCGTCAAAAAAGAAGGACTTGACTACTTTGACACTTATTCACCAGTAGCTAGAATAACATCTAAAAGGTTATTAATAGCTATATCGTCTGTGTACAATCTCGAGATACATCAAATGGATGTCAAGACTGCATTTCTGAATGATGAATCAGACAAAGAAATATATATGGAACAACCTGAAGGTTTCATTGTCAAAGGTCAATAAAAGAAAGTTTGCAAATTGATTACGTCATTATATGGACATAAATAAGCTCATAAGCAATGACATGAAAAATTCGATCATAATATGATCACAAATGGATCTATAATCAATGAAAGTGATAAA